CCCCGACGCGGAAGTAATCTTCGAGAACCTGGGAACGACTATCGAAGTCGTCGTCAACGGCACAACCAGCTACGCCGGCACCAACTTCCGCCTCGTCCAGTTCCACATGCACACCCCTTCAGAGCACCACATCAACGACGAATACTTCCCGTTGGAGATTCACATGGTGCACCAAGGTGTCGACGACGAAAGCCAACTCGCCGTCATCGCCCTCATGTTTGAGATCTCCTCCGGTGACTCCGCTTCCATGATCCAATCGCTGTCTTCCTCCCTCGCCGACATCGCCACACCCGGCACCAAGACTACCATCTCCTCCGGCATCGACTTCACTGACGTTGTTGAGACGCTCAAGACCTCCGATATTCAGCAGTACAGCGGTTCGCTTACTACGCCTCCTTGCGCTGAGGGCGTCACTTTCCTCATCGTCAAGGACCCTCTTCCCGTTTCTGTTGAGGACTTCAATGCTATCAAGAAGATTGTCAAGTTCAACTCGCGTTTCATTCAGAACACCCTTGGTGGAATGAACATCTTGGAGATTGGTGCTGCGGCTGGCAACACTTCGATGTCTCCTGCTCAGAACGCTACGCCTCGTGCTGATGTTGAGGTCACTGCTGATTTGGGTCTTCTTGATGCTAAGGTATGCTCTTCTCTCCCCGCAAAGCTCTCGTCACATCACATATACTAATCTGTGCTTAGGTTACCGTCGGTGCTCCTATCCAGAGGCGTGTACGCAAGTACTAAATGTCGGTTTTCCTTTCTCGTTAGAAGTTCTTGTTGCATAGTCGTGGAGTGAGTGGTGTTGTAAAGAGTAGAGTTGTGGACGACTCTAGTTTTATTTCTCTTTGATTATTTCGCATTTACACGGAGAGTGGTGGGGTGATACCAGCTTTCCTTTCTTGTAGTCTACTAGATCATGATTTAGATAAGACTTATTACAGCAATGTAACCTTTCCTGCTGCGCATCCTTCTTTCTCTGAGGCTTATGGGCATCTGTTAAGCACTGGTCTTTTGACCGCTTGAATGATATTCACATGAACATGATTGCATAGTGATGTCGGCATTGCTTTGTCAAGTGTAGCATGTAATGGTTCAATAAGCGGAACCGCGATGAACCCTGAAGCAAGAAGTGAACATAGAGCTAGTCCATTCGGGGGGGAAATAAACTTCTACTCAAAGTGAACAATCTATAAGTTTACATTGCGTTGTAATTCTGTCAAACCTTCGGTTGAACACTGATGTAGATTGCAGCGCTCGTGCTTAGTTCTCTCCTTGAGTAAGGTGTGTGCAATTTAGTCCAGATTGCTAGACGCGCGTTTCACCGCACAAAAAAGACGAGAAGAGAGAACTAGCACACGCAAGGAAGGAATAATTGGAATTGTAATCTGACTTTAAGATATCCTATTTTGCCAACTCCGGCAATGCAATAGACGAATACAAAGAACCCCTGGCGTGCTCTGCCCTGCGCAGAACCCTCACTTCGCAGTCTGGTGCAAACCACCCACACTGCAACTGCCTATCTTACACTAAAGACTACGCTCCTAATCGTAGCCAGGATCGCCACTAGGTGCCGGCGTCGCAGCATCCCAACCGCCAGGTGTGGGCGCCGCAATACCATATCCACCACGCGACGTGTCCCCAGGTGTGGGCGCAGCATAGTTGCCAGGAGTAGGAGCGTCCATGGGAGGGCCACCAGGCGTAGGCGCAGAGTAAGCACCATAGCCACCAGGTGTAGGAGCAGCGTAAGCACCAGGTGTTGGGGCGTTGTAAGCACCAGGCGTAGGAGCAGAGAGACCACCAGACTTTGAGGCGGTGTTTCCGGATGATCCACCCCAACCAGGTGTGCGACTGCCAGAGTTGAAGCCACCGTACGAGGTACGGTTTCCATCATTGCCGCCGTATGCTGTCGCTCCGCCATATGAGGTGGCGCCTCCGTATGCGGTTGCACCGCCGTATGCTGTCCGAGAGCCATCACCACCTCCATAAGCAGTCCGTGATCCGTCTCCTCCGCCATAAGCAGTGCGTCCGCCATCTCCACCCCAACCAGGCGTGCGGCCTCCAGCAGCGGCACCACCTCCCCAGCCGGGTGTGCGACCACCGCCGCCGCCTCCCCAACCAGGTGTACGGCCACCACCGCCAGAAGCACCCCAGCCGGGTGTTCGTCCGCCAGCTGCACCGCCGTAGCTTGTCTGACCACCTGAGTAGCCTCCGCGCGAGCGGTTGGGGAACTTGCCTCCCATCTCTACGCTGGCGCCAGTGATGGGGTCCTTGATAGTGAGGAGCTCCTTCTTCACCGAGACTTGCTTGTTCTTTGTGTGTAACTCGATCCGGGCCTCGTCGTTCATGGTATCTTTGACAATACCCAGTAGACCCTTGTAGGCACCCTTTCGAATGACAACCGTCTTGCCAATGAGCTTATCACGGCCGAAACTGGCGCGGGGTGGTGGCATAGCGGTTGCGTTGCCGTTCGCGCCTGCGTTGAGGGCAGGGTTGATGCCACTAAGATCTGGGCCCTGTGCTTGAGCGCGACCACTCTTTGCCGCCATGGTAACAACGTTGTTGCTTCGAACCACGAAGATACCCTGGTTCTCGACGAGCTCGCGGTTTCGTACGAAAAGTGTGCCCCTGTGGATGTATAGAACCTTGCCCTGACGGCCTTCGCCTCCATACTCCTTGACGTCGTCCTCGTGTCGGATTTCGGAACCGTCGCGGTCAGTTGCTACAGCGTGCTTGTTCCTTCCCACAATTTGCGAGACCTGTGTATGGAGGAGCGTGCGGACATCGCCCTGTTGATCGACGATTCGTAGGACTTCGCGGTCGACCCGAACGACGCAACCAATGGTTGAGGCACTGTAGAAAGTTAGTTCGTTGTCAAGGTACCGGAAGGAGATAACTTACTCAATCTGTACAAAGTCGTAGAGGTCAAAGTTGGAGTCAGCACCGACGTTTGCCGAATCAGCAGCGCGCTTCAAGTCTTTACTAAAGACGGTGATTTCCTGCTGAGTGGAGTCGCAAAGCAAGGTGATCTTATCATCCTTGATTCTCGTGACTAGACCAACTTCGTCGACGTACTTGCTGCCACCAATGACCTTGACGTGATCACCGTCGCGGAACAATTTGCGCAGCGTCTTGACGGGTGCGTCGATTCTTCTGCCCCGAAGATCACCTTCGCTGACACGGAGTGTCAGAATGTCGCCTATGACAGTGACAGTGGTACCGCGGATACCCTTCTGTTCACCGGTGTAGATCTCGACGTTGTCTCCAGCAGCGAAAGCGGAGCCAGAGTCTGCGGCCTTCTGCGCGGCCTGGACAGCCAAAAGATCCATAGTCTCCGTGCCATCTGCATTTTGGATCGCGAAGAACTGCAATTCCTCCATCTTAGGGTTGACTTTTTCAGTGCTGACCCAGTTGACCTTGACTTCCTTGATTAGGAAGCCGTTCTGGTAATCCTCGCCCTTGTATGTGTACGCCCTTTGGTTGCCGGATCCGGTCATGCTGAGATGCTTCATGTGTCGCTTCTTCGCTTCGGCTTCGTTGAAGAGCTTCGCAGGTGGGCGCTCGACCTGTCGACCAAAGAAGCCGCGCTTGCGCTTGTTGTCGGCGGCGGAGTTGATGTCCTCATTCAGACCGTAGTCTAGACGTGGTACAAGTTGTACAACACAGTCAAGACCGTTAGTCGAGACCTCAACAACCTTTGCAAGATCGCCCTTGTATGTGGGGGGACGCAGCATGCGCACAAATTTGCCCACCTCCAACGGCGCACGCTTCTTCTTGCGGAGCAGATCTGGACGCTCCTTGGGAGGAATCGAGAACTGACCAGAGCCCATGAAGACGTTTTGTATGCCCTCAATCAACTCCACCACAGCCTGCTTCGAGTCGGCCTCAACATAGAGAAAACCAGACTGGGGTCCAGTAGGGCCTCGTTCAAAGGCTGAATAGACCTGTACTGGCTGACCTGTGCGCATCTTCTCGTCGATACGCTTCTGGATGGACATGATGATCTCGCGCTCCTTTCCAGGTCGGCACTTGCAACCCCAGATAGACGGGTCGTCGACAGTGGGTAGGGCCAGGGGAACGGCACCAGCACCACCGCGACGAGCGCTCTGCATTTCACGCCGCCTGTACTTCTCATCGAACTCCTTGGCAAGCTCTTCAACATCCTTTTGTGCATTGACTTCGCGGCGCATGTCAAGTTCGCGGTGGTGGCGGTCGTCGAGATCGGCGCCCGTGGGCTCGAGGAGATCATCGGGGTGGACTTCATCAACACCCTCGTCGTCGCCCTCCTCCTCTTCTTCTTCATCCTCGTCAACCTCGGCTTCAACATCAATGAACATGTTGCGCTTGGCCTTCTTTCTTCGCTTGGCAGGTCGGGCCTAGGATAGTCAGTGATTGGACAGCGCGAATGAATGATGGGACCCACGACAACATCCTCGTCGTCCTCATCTTCTTCATCATCCTCGTCGTCATCGTCATCGTCGAGATCTATGCCACCGCCCTCTTCATCCTCGTCGTCATTGCCTGTTCTGTTTGGCGCATCGACTTCGTCCTCCTCGTCCTCGTCTGCGGGCCTGCGCGAGGCCTTGGTCGTTGGCGCGACGTCATCCTCGTCGATTTCAGGCGCGGGGTTGAAATCTTCCTCTTCTTCTTCGGGGTCGCTGCCGTAGGACGCCATGTTTATGAATGGGTGTGGTGATAGAGGAGCGTGTCCTCCCTAAGAGCTGTCGCGAAGCTCGGGGGTGTGAGCGCGGCGATCAAGCGGACGTGACGGGGACGTTATCCGCTGATTGGTCTTGGACGGTCAGCGCGCGGTTGGAGAGTGAGAAGGAGGAAAGTAGGAGCAGACGGCGAGCGTCGAAGTTGACGGGCTATGTTTTAAACATGGGAACGTCGAACAAGGCCCGTCCAAAGAAACCGCGCTAAGCCGGCGCGCCGCAAGGGTCCGTGCCCTTTGATGGCCTCGACGCCACGCCTCCAAGGCGGAAGAAGCATCACCAGCGCGTTGACTTCACCTTTTTAGCAATGGAGGTTTCGCATACTCACGACGGCGCTAGAATGAAAGCTTCAGACTGGTAAATCACTACGCATATCACTAAACTCACCACAGACAAGGAAATCGCGGCCTTCTGACTGTAAAGCGTCGCGTGGAGTGAATATCTTGAGTAGCAACAGAGATACCTCCATATCATAGTCTTGCCTTCTGCTCGGCCTTATCCTCCTCTGCTTCACATATCCTTATCACTGCTCTCCCCCAAGCTTTACGCGCCCTCACATCCTCCAGCGCTCTACTAACCGCCTCCAACCCCCAATAATCCTCGTTGTATATGACAGGCCGAATCTTACCGTCCTCAACCAACTTCATAAATCCATCCCAAACATCCTTTGTCCTCTGCGCATCTCTCCTCCCATCTTCTCCAAACCGCTGCCTTGAGTCAGCAGACGTATCGAACACGCGAAATCCCAAGTGCAGGACGACCACGGAAGGATCACTCACATAACCAAACACCGCAACCCCCTTTAGCAAAATCTTATTAACCTTCAGGTTCTCCATCTTTCCCCCTCTTGCCGCGAACCCCACAACAACCAACCTCCCCCGATACTTCAAACACCTAATCCCACTCTCCACAGCTCCAATCCCATCATACACGACATCCACCCCCTCCCCACCATTCCCCAACGCCCTCACCCTCCCCTCCCACCCCTCCTGTCCATAATCCACAACCTCATCCGCCCCAACACCCCTCACAACCTCAGCTTTCTCCTTCCCCCCAACAACAGCAATAACCCTCGCCCCAACCGCCTTCGCAATCTGCACAGCCATGACACCCAACCCGCCACTCGCTCCAAGGACCAGCACCGTTTCTCCAGCTTTAAGCTGCGCAACGGACAGTAAAGCACCGTAACTGACTGCTCCGCTGGCGCCAACGGCGCAGGCTTCGGCGTTCGTCCATTGCGAGGGTACGCGGCGGATGGAGGTCTCAGGGACGCATATCTGCTCTGCGTAGGCGCCTAAGCCGCCACCGAAGACGCGGGTACCGGGCGGGAAAGAAGAGGAAGCTGAGCTGTGAGTTACTATGCCGGCGTATTCTGTACCTAGAACGAAGGGCGGTTGCACGTGTCGGCGGTTGTTTTGGTGCAGGCCTCGGGCGTAGAGGAGGTCCACGTGGGTCACGGCTGCGTGAGTGATTTTTATTTGGAGGCCTTGGGTGAAATTGGGCGCAGGGTTAGGGATTGTGGTTGGTTTGAGGTCTGACACATTCTGTGGATGTTGGTTAGGGAAGATGATGGTGTTACTTGGATGGGTCGCTCACGGAGACGAATTTGTCAATGTGGATGGCCTTCATCATTGCAGATCGACACATGGAACCTCAATCTTAATCTAGCGGCCTTTCCCTACAAACTACCTGTTAAAGTATTGCAGAATGTAGCGAGCGTAGTAGACCTTATGCGTGCCGGGAGATCGACGCGTCTACGGGTGTGGGGTACGATGAGTTGCCGAGGTTTGACTGGATGCGCGGCTCTGATAAACGACAGCAACGAAAGGGAAAATCACGAGACGATGGGAAGTTGGATTATTTATAGAATCGATCAGTTATTTGGTGTTTCACGCGAATTCGATTCTCGCGTCTCCCACGATAGGATAAAATGTGCCATACGCAGTTTCGGTCCTCCACGAGCAAGTACAATTCAAAGAGCGCGAGATTCCCGGTGGAGGTCTCGCGCATCGCGAAACCATTTCCGCTCTCTATTCTCAGCCACAGTTTTAGGTACCCAGAGACTGATCATCCGCCTGTCCCAGCGCCATGGATGTCTCATCGCGGGCCTTCTGACGCCGCATATGCCATTTCTCAACGTCGGACATAGGTTTCTTGGCCTCGAACGATTTCCGGCCCTTCTGTGCCGCCATATGAACTTTCGTCCAGACCGCTGATATAGCGATGAGGCTGACAACAGCCAAAGCGGTCCAGTACACAATGTCAAACTCGCGCCTCAGATGCTGTCGCTCCTCTGACGCCGGTGCCCTCTGCTGCAGATCGATGCTTGGTGCGGAACGAGATGCCGTAGTCATGGGTATCTGTTGTGGTCTGATGACGGGCCCGAGAAGAAGGTTTGAGATCGGGGCTTGACGACCGAGAATACTGAGGAGCTCTGTCATGGATATGTTGAGGCCGCTACTCAGTGCATCGAGCACAAGCATCTTGTCGAGTTCGGGGTCCTGAGACATATCTGCGTCGCTGTATGGCTGCACCTGTCAGCGCGTGTTTGCAATAAGCTATCGTAAACCTACATTATGAAGTAGGCCTGCGCAACCGAGTCAAAATGCTCATTCGAGAGCATGCAGGTTTTGAGTTGGCGACTTGTGCAGACTGAGTGTTCTGTAAACGTACAGTAAGGGAGGAGCCACCTTGGTGTCAGACCACTTTCTTTTCGTGACGGAAGGAACAAGCGCGAAACTGGTAAGAACGATTGTTGGTGTGTGAGGTAAGAGCTACCACATTGGCCATCCATTGGCTGACAACATACTGGCGTTGAAGACGTTATTGTTCAACGAGCCTTCTGAAGGCAGATAGTCCATCAGGTCTTCAAAGCCCAGAGTATCGATGTCGAAGTTCCACATGGTCGGATCGTCAAACGACAGCGGAACCTCAGGACCTAGAGGTAGCTGTTGCGTTGTGCGGTCAGTCTCCAGTGTCGGAATGCCAGCAGTGTTGCTAGAATCATAGGAACAGGTTTGGGTGGCTGATGTGTCCGCTGATAGCGTGGCCTTTTCGTTTGACCCGTCTCTGATCTTTTCATACTCTGCTATAAGCGACATAAGGAGACGTACGCCATGTACTGCAACACTTGACGTGTGGAACGACTGCAAGAACCTGATGGCCTGCGTGACATGTAGTTGACACTCTTGTGCCTCCGCATCTGCTTCGGCGCGGTGAAAGAGCTCCAAAATGAGGCAAATACCGGCGGTGATGATGAAGGCTTGCTCAACCCACCATTGCGGCTCTTGTGCATCCCGAGTGGTGTATAGATTGATAAGACTCTGCGAAGCGCTCATACAGGCCCACCGGCTGTACGTGTAGCGGACGTCCTTGAAGCTCTTGCTCAAGAAATTTTGATGAACTGATGACAGGCGACAGAGTTAGTGTAAGTCTTTGGTTAATTGGTTTTGATGAATACTCACTCATAATGATCTTATGGTGTGTTGATGCCTGGTGTAGCCGTCTCGCCCAGAAGACCCATGGAGGCCAGCTGGGATTGTTCGGTGTCCGAGGAGAGAAGCATTTTGGCAACTTCTCCGCACAAAAAGCACGCATCTCGCCATCGAATTTGAGGATTGTGGCGTATTTGATAGTGTCGTCTTTGCTCTCAAGTTCCACCATCGCGTTGTGGACATCGAGAAGCAACGCAGCGCAGTCAAAAGAACAGTTTGTGACGCCTACGATTGTTGGCGTTTCTGTATCGGTGACGGGCGTCATGGTTTCTTCGTCTAATTCGCGTGGTCTTGCACTCGTAAAGTGCCGCCATTGAAGTGTCAACGTGTAAGAGGCTGATGAAGTACAACACAACCTATAGAATTCGTTAGTGGGTTGTTAATGAAGGACATGAACCAAACTGTAGACGCACCAATCCTGACATACAACTGCATACCATACCCTTCGACCAATCTCACGCTCGATGAAGGCTTCCTTCCGTTTTGGGTCCAAATCAGCTATCATGGCGTCGTCCGGATGGGGCCCAAGTCTAATTGATCAGTTATCAAAGTCTTTTTTTTTTCGAGGATTCTATGCCACGTACTTGTGCAAACCAAGCCCTTTGGCAACGACTACACCCACGGCACGAAGCGCGATCCATTGATTGGTTGAGCCAGCTAGATGTTCATACGCATGCATGATATAAATCGCCTGGACCGAGTGAATGCTGTATTGCGATGTATAATTTCCAAGGTTCAAGCATGAAATGGATGCTGCGCCCCATAATCGTGCTAGCTGGACTTTGTCATCCATCGAGAAGCCCCATGACATTGAAACTGTTTCTGAAGAGCCAATGATACTGGATGAGAGGATCGCAACTACAGGCTTTGTGTCAGCAGCTTCAAAGAACAACCGAGAAGATTGAGTCTCGTCTCGGTAATCTTCGTATTGAGAGCAAATCAGGCGAAGTGGCCATGCATCGTTCGGAACGGAGATAACTCACACAAGAGTGCTGTCCATTTCCAGTCGAGGTCCTGCAAATCAAGCTCATACGACTGGCCATAAGCCTGAAGCAGTCTCTTTCGAAAGCTCGGCGCATGATAGATGCCGCCATTCCAGTACATCATGTACTGTGCGTAGTACTCCACAATGAGCATTAACTTTTCTCTCGGCGGTAGAATCGACTGCAAGTATTGTGTTTCCACTGTCCTTGCTGCATTCGAGTAGCAGCTCGCAATAGAGGTCGACCCGTTCGGCCCATCCCGTTGCGGTCGTTTTGACCGGGCGTAGGAGAAGCTCTTGTCGAAAAGGCTCTGATTCGCGTCTGAATCTTTCTCATTTAATATAGCGCTAATCGTGATGTCCGGCAACCCGGTTCGCCAAACTGCATCCTCATGCGGCTCGTTCCGACCCGATTGAGTGCCTGCTGTTTGTGGATGGACCACGGGTAGCGCGATCTGAGCATTGGCATCAGGAGATGGACCGGACGAAGAAGTCTCGCTTGAACCGGTTGCCGAGAGCTTCCTGGGATATTTGCGATGGACATTTGGGTTGTATCCGTTGACCCATTTGGTCGTGCATAGATGGCCTTCGTTGTTCTGCACGCATCTCGTACAAGGTGCCTTCCGATCGCACTTCTGCCGTCTTTGAGAGCATCGCGTACAAGTCTGGCGCTCTTTGGGCATGATAGTCTCCTCAGTATCCTGTATGTAATAGGCCTATGCACTCGTACAACAGTCTTGGCTCCGTCTTTTGTTTTGCTTGATCGCCTTATTTTGTACGACAATTCAGGTACGAAGGAGCGAGTTTGAACGTCGACGAGTGTTATAAGCGAAAGCAAATCAAAGTGAGTAGCGCGCAATGCGTAGTGCGTACAACGGTGGAAGGTCATGAAAGCTGATGTACGATGCGATGTGCGAATCGTACAAAACTTCGTACAACGGACAACCCCTGCTTCGTCTGACTGGACGCTTTGACCATGCTTCAGCGTGAGTAGGCTGATGATCAACGTTTGACCAGGAAATGTCTAGCTGCATCGACATGGTTCATGATAGGTAGTGGTGGAGTGAGGGAAGCTGCGACACTGCTGGTGTTCTAATGGCTGCAGCTGACAATCGACGGTCTGTGCGCCCAACCCACGGACCCAGTCCGGAGTTAAGGATTTCGACTGCCCCAAGGTCACAGTGAAACTTTTCACGTATACACATAGATGAAAAGGTGAATTTAAAAGGCAGAGGGTAATACCAGAGCTTGTAACGTACTTTGCCGCATACGAATCATCAAACCTGGAAAAGTAAACGATATTCACGATCATGTATACTTCTTCCTAGAGTATTCTTCAACCTATCTGTGATGCAACACAGTCTGTCATCCCTAGTGTGGGTAGAGCTTGATTTGGTTACAGATGCAACTAGACTAGTTCAAACACCTTCCATCCTGCAACATACATCCTCGTCACTATGTACATACCCGCTCCCGCCAGCATCATGACACCAGAGAAGACATTTAGTCCCCAGTACTGTCCGTTGTTTTTAACAACAATAGCTCCTGCAATTGGGTTACCGACCAAACCCGCAATCGAGATGCAGGCAAACACAACACCAACACGGATCCCGATCTGCTCAACCTTAGAGATGTACGCTATCTGTGCAGGCAACAGTGACACGAAAGCACCAGAAGCGAATCCGTAGAGGCCGGCGAATGTGATGAATGCCGCGTTGCCTGATGCGGGGAGAGCGAGTGCAAGGACCAGAATGCCAGCTACCAGACACCAGAGTGACTGCATGTTGAACCTGCCAACCTTGTCCGCGAGAGCACCGGGAATGATGCGACCGAAGATGCTTGCGGCGTTGAGAATAGCTAGAAGATATCCAGCCAAGGTAGTCGACATTCCAGCTGCCATCGCTTGAACTTCGATGAAGTTGATGGGTATAACTAAGTCTGGGATTAGTACGCGTCTTCTTGGCAAGTCGTGCAGGGGGGTAGCTTACACAGTCCCATGAAGAACAAAAATGACGCAATCGTCAGTAAGACGAAGCGAATGTCTCCAAAAGGCTCTACAAACACCTTGAATTCAAAGTTCCTGGGTTGTGGCGGTAGACGAGATTTGACCGTGAGGAAAGCGATAGTCATCATGCCGAGGATGAGGAAGCCAAATGTTCTCATTGTCCAGCCATAGCCGATTTCGGGGATGAGGTGTGTTGCCATGATCGGAAAGATGATGCCGCCTAGTCCACTGCCAGCTGCCATGACTCCATATGCCAGGCCTCTCTTCTTCAAGAACCATGTGGGAATGGTGCTCGTTCCTGCCTGGAAGATGCAGTTCAGGCCTAGGGGGCTGCAGATGCCTTGGGCGAGGATGAACTGCCAGTACTCGGTGCATAGGCTGGTCATCATGAGACCAAGCACGTGGAACAAAGTACCGAACAACAATATGTACTTGGGGCCGTAGTTGTCATAAAGAAAACCGACGATAGGACCAGGCGCGAACATGACGAAGATCTCGAGTGAAGCGATCCAGGCGATTGTGGAGGGCGAGTACGCGCTCAGTTGATTGCGCTGATAGTAACTTTGGAACACTCCGACGCAGTTCAACCATCCAAATGAGCAGAAGAGACAACAGAAGCCTCCGAGGAGGCACAGATAAGCGTTTCTTCCGCCATCGGGAAATTGACTGGGATGGAATGGGCTCACGGCCTCTGTAGGCTCGGTCGCATCGGTTTGCTTCTCATCGACTGGTACTGGCGGTTGTTCGACATCAGATAGGGGCAGTCGTGACTTTTCCTCGTGCAAAGACGGCACTGAGCTTGTCGTCTGTGACATGGCAGGAGAAGGTTATGATGAGGCTGAAAAGTTGAGAGTGGAGGTGTTGGTGAAGGCAAAGCTGGGCTAGGCCATGATTAAGTAGTAAAGGAGTGAGATTGACATGGAAAGATGTACCAGCGCTTCGGTCCTTGCCGTGGAATCCGTACAATCCGTACATTGGAGAGCGAGCGCGAAGCCCACGAGCCATAATTGGGGTAGGTTTGCATGTAGGCCTGCACGCCTGTTCGCGCTCGGCCTCGCCTTTGACGCAGACCGACGTGCCGAGCCAATGGCGAGATGGCTCAGAACCGTGCTCGCATCATCACAACAGCGAAGGCAGCAGCGGTACGGGGGTCAGTGACCCACATTCTAGAAGATCGATCCGGGCTTTCGAAGACATTTGCTGGCGAGTGCGGTGTTGAAAGGATTTCGCTCTTGCGCGCGCAGCGGACATGCGTAAGGAGATGTCGGAGATGCCATCATCTCCGACCCGCGTCCGCCATGGAACCATTTTTACTGGAGATGCATCCTATATGTGCATGCGGCCACCCAAACATGAGTCTTCACGATGGGTACGTGTGGATCATTCTTTGATGCTCAAATCAGCAATTGCTTCCATGGGTTGGGGCACTGGCAAGATTCGCACGGGCATTGATCATGCATAGCTTCCGAGTAACTGCAATTGTTGGCCAGAGAGGGTAGACTCATGGAAAGATGCGGGGCAAGCCATTCTTCGAAATGAGGTTTGTCGAGAGTCGTCAAGGGTCGAGGTGATGGGAATGACATCTGGAGGTGCAGGACAGGTTCGCTTGATCGGGCAACGACGCACAGACTTGGTTCCTTCGCATTTTGCCTTCCGAATCAGTGTGGTCCTCACTAGCACTCTTGCTTGAACGCGCACAACAACCAACCTACCCGCAAACCCTGACTACCCTGAATCCATCCCGATCATCTTCTGGGGAGCTTCGCATATTCGGCCATCTACACCCGCGCATCGCCATCTCCACGCCCGCCTATTCCTGCATCTCTGACGGATTCCATCCCATTTCAGTGCACACGGCCCGGTACGCGCAACTAGCCCGAGGATAGCTTTTTACTATGCTAACGTCGACTTGCTTTCTTAGCATCTAGGCGCCTATCCTCTGCTTCGCGTATCTCATCCCCCACCACACTCCGCGCAAACTCGACGCAATTCGCCCTCCATCTTACCGCATCCTCTCCCCGTCGCCCGCATATTGAAAATGGCATCCACCGAGTCATCCGGCCCCGTCAACGGCAACTACGCGCCGCAGCAGTACGAAAACAGCTACTCCACCGGCGCCTCCAACTTCACACCCTCGCAGCAACCCACGCCCAGCCAGCCCGCACAACAAGCCGCCGCCTCAGAGATCCCCAAGGACGAGGTTGGCTGGTACTTTGTCGAGCAGTACTACACCACCCTGAGCAAGAGCCCGGACCGACTCTACGTAAGTCGCATATGCGGGAAGGATTTTCTTGGTGACCACGCGACTGACGCAACCTGCAGCTTTTCTACAACAAGCGCTCCCAGTATGTGTCCGGTGTCGAAGAGGACAAGGTCAACGTCTGTCTAGGCCAGAAGGTACGTGAAGCACGCCCAATTGCAATGGATGCATGCTGACTCGCTTCTAGGCCATCAACGAGCGCATCAAGGAGCTCGAGTTCAAGGACACCAAGGTCCGCGTCACCAACGTCGACTCGCAGGGCTCCGACGCCAACATCGTCATCCAGGTTATTGGTGAGATCTCCAACCAAGGCCAGCCGCACAAGCGCTTTGTGCAGACTTTCGTCCTCGCCGAGCAGACCAACGGCTACTTCGTCCTCAACGACATCTTCCGCTACCTCGCCGACGAGCCCGAGGAGGATGAGGACCAGCAAGAGCAGGCCGCTCCCCCCAACGGTGTTACAGAGCCAGCTCCCACCGCTGCTGTCCCCGAGAATGCCGACCTCAACAAGAGCGACGAGATCGCGACCAGCGAGGAGGACCTGAACAAGGTGGACAACAAGCTACACCAGGCTGCGCAAGAGGAGCCGTCTGTCGAGGAGGTCGCCCCTGCTGCCCCAGCCCAACAGGTTCCGGAGGAGATTGAGCAGCCCGCTGCTGAAGAGGCACCTGCTGCTGTCGAGGAGAAGGTCGAGGAGTCGACCGCTGCCGCTGAAGAGACCACCGAGCCCGAGAAGCCCGTTGCTGCCGCCCCAGCGCCCGCCCAAAAGGCTGCCCCTGTTGCCATGCCCTCTGGTCCACCGAAGCCTGCTGCTCCACGAACTTGGGCCAGCCTCGCCGCCTCTGCACACAAGGTCGCTACTCCCGTTGTCAACACCCCGGCCGCCCAGCAAGCTCCTTCGCAGCCCAAGGCCGCTGCCGCCGCTCCTGCTCAAACTGCTGCTGCTGCTGCCCCCAGCCAGACCTCAGCACCTGCTCGTGACCAATCCCCCGCGACAAGCCAGGGCGAGGCTGCTGGCTGGCAAACAGCCACTGGACACAAGAAGGAGCAGTCCCGCGTACAGAACGCTGGACCCGCCGCCGACCCTGACCAGAAGCGTGCTTACATCAAGAACGTCTACAGCCAAGTTGACGACGCTGCTCTGAAGACTGCTCTGACCAAGTACGGCGAGATTGAGTACCTTGACATCAGCCGTGGCAAGGTAAGTGAATGTGCCTCAAAATACTGTATCTCGACTAACATTTTGCAGAACTGTGCTTTCGTCGACTTCAAGACGCCTGCTGGATTCCAAGCTGCCGTCGCTGCTAACCCCCACACGATCAACGGCATTGAGATCAAGGTCGAGGAACGCCGCCAGAACCCCGGCCAGTTCAACAGGGGAGGAGGATTCCCTCGTGGCGGTGCTCCTCGCGGCGGCCGTGGTGGTATGGGTGGCCAAGCACCCCGTGGTAACTTCCAACCTCGGGGACGCGGTGGCCCCATGCGTGGTGGTCGCGGCGGCGCTGCCCCTCAGGAATCATAAGAGGCTTTACGCGCTGCTTACTCCCCCGTTCTTTTTGCCATTCTTCTTCTCTCTCTTGTTAAGTCGGTTTGACTCGATGGCCTCACGACTGACGGCTTTAGCCATGTACTGTACCGACCCCCTTTCAGCGCTTGTATAAAAGTCATTTCATTTCGAGGAAAAGTCTGGGCGTACGCGTTCGTCTTAGGGTTCTGAGCCCTTGCATAGCGAGTGGTTTCGTTTCTGCATGTTTCCTTTCTGCATCCGTGTATATCCATTCAGCCGTTTTCGAACATATTCCCTTCTTCGCGGTCGCATTCTTCGTCAAGTAATGTTTAGGGAAGGCTATCTGGGGGTTCCTGGGTACGGGCTGGGGATGTCATAGCATCTGGTGTAATGGGTGTACAGCATAGCTTCGGCGACAATAGGATCGGACGGGGAAGGGCAGTCAAATCGTGAAATGATCTGGTACGAATACAATAAATGATATACGCTCCAATATGGTGTTTATGACTTAGTGTGAGGTTGTCTGGTGATTGCTGATAACGTCACCTGATAGGTGTAGTGCGACGCGGGATGCGCCTAGTGCTACGCTGACCGTTGATTCGAAGACGCGCAATCACCTGCATCAGCAACAGCCCCTAAGCTTCAAGCCGCGCCAACCTGCGTTTCGTGCATACGAAAGACTCGTACCCTGATACCCTGACAATTTACACCTAGCTACTGCTCTTCCTCACACTCCACTTAATTAACGCTGGCGCATTATCACAAGACTAAGGTCGCAGTAGATCGCGCGGGGCTAAGCGGGGCCGTCGCGCGACGTGCATCACATCACCACTCGGTATCTACTGAAGCTGACCAAGACTCTCGCTTTCGACCCGCTGTACTCACCTACCCTGCGACATATGCCCCAAGAGCTCTGCAAATATGCGACCGCTACCGGGCGGCGACGCCCTGCCTCCCACTGTCCGGCCGCGATCTCGTAAATCAAGCGTCGATCATCCTACCGCCCCTTCGAGCAATGTCCCCACTACCTTCGTCATGAAGCGCGTCGGAGATTTGGAGCACACTATGGCTCCTCCTCACAGCGCGACTGCTGCAGGAAAGCAGCAAGACAGCACTTTCGGAGTACAGAGTCTCGCAGATACTTTGGAGGCTGCTTTCGGCCCAGAAGGTGCTGCAGCTGGTACAGATCCAGAAAAGGCTAGTAAGACACAGCATCATGGGGCAAAGAGTTCAAGATCCGAGTCGCATAGCTCTTCCACAGATTCAGTCACACCGCCAGAAAAATCCAGGATAACTTCGGTACGGAAATTGAGGAGGAACTATACTAAAAATGACTCAATTACTCACTTTAAACTTCCCGCCGCGAGCGTCGACGTTCCTTCCCCACTCCCCACGTCCGCTATGGGGAGCACACCGAGGTCGGCTTCGATAACGTCACTCAAGCTGTCCGACGAGGAGTTTGCCATGGATGACGCTGCCAGCCAGGCCATTGTCTCAAGTGGAGAGGAGGAAGAGCAGATAGAGGTGCAGCAGGATATGGCGAGCTTTCCACAGCTGGTCATGCCTGAGATGCAAATGCCAACCAGGAGGCCATTCACAACCAGAGGCAAGGCTATGGGAAAGCTGAGAGTCATGGTGGCGGGCGAAACAGGTGCGTCATTATCACGACATGCCATATCGTTCTGGTGGAAGGGCTATACTGACAAGCACGATGCAGGTGTCGGCAAATCGTCTCTCATTCGATCCATCGTCCAAGCCTGCGAAGACATCGTACACGTAGATCCTCTATCGCCCTCCCACCCAAGCGCGCCCTCACGCCCGACCAAGTCGAAATCTCGCACAAAGAAAGCCGAGCATGCGGGCACAACTCGAGTGACTGAGATACATGCGAGCACGAAGCCCTACCCTCATTGGTGGGCTGATACCGAAGAGAGCGGTATTCTGCGGAGAAGAAAGAGCAGTATGGATACTGTCTTGGAGAGAAACATATGTTTCGTAGACACTCCTGGCTACTCACAGGGCTCTGCGGACAAGGATATGAGCATGGTGATAGACTATGTTGAGTCGCTGCTATACCAAACCTCATCAGTGACAACATTAGAAGACAACGACGTGCTTGGGGTCGTCAGTGGTAGTGGAGGCGTCCTAGTCGACGTGGTCATATACCTACTGCCACCGAGTAAGCCAAAACATCGTACACACCGGCATCCTTACTGACTTCATGCAGATCGGGACATCACGAAAGACATTGAGTACATGCAACGGTTGTCGCACTTTACCAACGTTGTTCCTGTCATTGCCAAATCAGACACACTTTCGGCGCAAGAAGTGGTAGCT